CAGCGGCGCTTTCCCTGTGAGTAACTTTGCCCAGCCCGGCTCGCTCCGCGCCCTCTCGCTGGCTCCGGGCAGCAGCCTCAGGTGCAGGCGTCGGCTGGGTGTGGGGCAGCGCCGCGCCTCGGGAGGCGGCCGGAGCGGCGCCGCAGCCGGCCCAGGAGCTGCCTTCCTCGCGGCTCTCGTTCGCTGGGGCTGCGGGGACAAGGTGGACCCGGCTGGCCGCGCTCGTCCGTGGAGGGAGAGACGACCGCCCTGCGCTCGGTGCCCGCCGGGTGGGTGCACGAAAGGCGGGCGGTCCCCGGGCTGGTAGCCTTTGGTGGTTTCGGCCACTGTGGTGCAGATCTTTGCGTCGTTGTTTGCTTTTTAAGGGCGAAGAAAGGTGGGGGTGAGTTTGTTTGTTTCTTCTGAGCATGAGTGTGTGGCCGGGGATGAGAGTGTCACTAGCTGTTTTAACATCGGATTTTGTTCTTTTGGAAAGGGATGGGGAAGAGATGATTCTCTGCTTCAGCCTGTTGCTTATAAATGCTCACCCTTCCCCTTGGGCAGGAGAGGGTGGGAGAGAGATTTGATTTGGAAGCAGTTGCACACAAAGCACCATTCAGGAAATACATCACAGGTCTTTCAAGGCTCTATGCCACGTTATAGACAGGACTTGACTTAGTTGTGTTCTCGTATTTCAGTTTACATTTAAAGGTATGGATCCAGACATTTGTATTTGCCAGGAGCTAAAGTACTCATGCATGGACTTTACTGTGTCGATTTTTCTAATGATTAAAATCACAGAAATCAGAAACAAAGTTGAGTGAAAAGCGTTGGGATTGCAAGAGGAAACAGTTGTGAGCTCCAGTTTGTTGGAATTGCCTTCACTTTAAGAATTTCACATTCTTGCAGCCATAGTAGTTACTTGTAAATTGGCCTCCTTCCCAGGACAGATTTTGATTTTTCTCTTGCTTGTACTGTGACGCAGCACTGATGAAGTTGGATCGCAGTCAATCAATTTTATTTACTTTGATAGATTTCATTCCCATCCCCACCCACTTAGGTTCAG